AATGGCAGATTTCAGCAATGGTACCTCTTATATAGGGACATAGTGGCATAGTGGCCGAAAACTCTAGAGCCAGACAAACTCATCCTTGGCTCATCCAATCAGATGAGGCTCTCCTCACCTCCTCAGAGAATTTCTCCCTGACCACCCCATTGAAAGTAGCTCTCAGGACTCCATGCCAGTTACTTTCTGTCACACAACCTTGCTGTTTACTTCGTAGCAGTTATCATAATCTGTAATTATCTTGTTTTTTTACCTGCTTACTGTCTCCCTGTTAGGTTGTAAGGCTCATGAGGGCAAACTTTTTCTGTCTTAGCACTGCTTCCCCAACACCCAACTGAGGGCTGAATACACAAGTTCTCAGTAATATGTTTTGAATTGATAAATGACTGAATCCCAGCTTAATGACTGCTTGACCTAGAGAAAGTTGCTAAACTTCTCTGAGCCTCAGTTTTCTAAGCCCTGAAGTAGAGAAATAACAGAGATATTACGAATATTAAATGACACAATGCAGTTACACCAGTAAGCCCAGATCCTGGTACAAGGAAGTGTTCTCTAAAACCTTCAGCAGTGTCCTACTTTCTATCATATAAGAAAAATAAAGTCTGAACTAATTAGCTGGTGGTCTGTAATTTGACCACAGCTTTTCTTTTCTTTCCTTTTTTCCCCTTAAAGTGTTGTTAATATACAATCTTATGCTGGTTTCAAATGTATATCACAGTGGTTCAACTGTCCCCATAATCAGTTTATATTGTGGTTGTGAATTTTTGTGCCCCTTTAACCCACTCTCCTGCCCAACCCCTCCCCCTTGGTAACCACTAGTCATTTCTCAGTGTCTATGAGTCTACTCACAGCTTTTCTTTACCACAGTTTTTACTTTAGACTGCTCTTCTCTATAACTTTCTGCTTTGTTTCAAATCATGGCTATCCTGAATGGGCCGTGTGCATTCTTATTATTAAGTCTTTGCTCAAGAGTTGAGATGTTTGCTTTCCTTATCTCTGCTCAGCTATTTCAGATTTAGTCAAACCCATCTCCTTTGTATTGTGTTTCTGAACTGTCTCAAGTCATAAAGACCATTTTCTTTTCTTAATTTTTATAATCTTTATTGTCTTTATTACTCATATGGCTCTTATTCTATGTTTTACTATCTTTCAACATACTAACATGCATCTTGTTTCCTTGATTAGACTTAAGTCCTTTGGAGACATGTATTATATTTAGACTTCTCTGTATCTTCTGTGCCTTTGTGTCTGTACATAGTAGGTGTTCAATACATTTTTTATTAGATTGAATTAAAAGCACATATATTTAGACATATAAACCCCTATGTTTATTGCAGCACTATTTATAATAGTCAAGATATGGAAGCAACCTAAGTGTACATCAGTGGATGAATGGATAAGGAATATGTGGTACATATACACAATGGAATATTATTCAATCATAAAAAGAAAACAAATCCTACCATTTGCAACAACATGGATGGAGCTAGAGGGTATTACGCTCAGTGAAATAAGCCAGGCAGAGAAAGACAAGTACCAAATAATTTCACTTATTTGTGGAGTATAACAACAAAACAAAACTAAAGGAAAAAACAGCAGCAGACTCACAGACTCCAACAAGGCACTAGCCATTACCAAAGGGAAGGGTGGGGGAGGATGGGAGGGGAGGGAGGGAGAAGAGGATTGAGGGGCATTATGACTGGCACACATGATGTGTATGTGGGGTTACAGGGAAGACAGTGTAGCACAGAGAAGACAAGTAGTGACTCTGTGGCATCTTTATTTATTTATTATTAAGGCATTATTGATACACACTCTTCTGAAGGTTTTACATGAAAAAACAATGTGGTTACTACATTTACCCATATTATACCCATATTATCAAGACCCCACCCATACCCCAATGCAGTCACTGTCCATTAGGCAACAAGATGCCACAGATTCACTATGTGCCTTTTTTGTACTACACTGTTTTCCCCGTGATCCCCCCACACCATGTGTACTAAACATAATACCCCTCAGTCCCTTTCTCCCTCCCTCCCCACCTGCCCTCCCACACCCCTCCCCTTTGGTAACCACTAGTTCCTTCTTGGAGTCTCTGAGTCTGCTGCTATTTTGTTTCTTCAGTTTAGCTTCATTGTTATACTCCACAAATGAGGGAAAACATTTGGCATTTGTCTTTCTCCGCCTGGCTTATTTCACTGAGCATAATGTCCTCCAGCTCCATCCGTGTTGTTGCAAATGGTAGGATTTGTTTCTTTCTTATGGCTGAATAGTGTTCCATTGTGTATATGTACCACATCTTCTTTATCCATTCATCTACTGATGGATACTTAGGTTGCTTCCATATCTTGGCTATTGTAAAAAGTGCTGTGATAAACACAGGGGTGCATATGTCTTTTTGAATCTGAGAACTTGTATTCTTTGGGTAAATTCCAGGGAGTGGGATTCCTGAGTCAAATGGTATTTCTATTTTTAGTTTTTTGAGAAACCTCCATATTGTTTTCCACAATGGTTGAACTAGCTTACATTCCCACCAGCAGTGTAGGAGGGTTCCCCTTTCTCCGCATCCTCACCAGCATTTGTTGTTCTTAGTTTTTTTGATGCTGGCCATCCTTACTGGTGTGAGGTGATATCTCATTGTGGTTTTAATTTGCATTTCCCTGATTATTAGTGATGTGGAGCATCTTTTCATGTGTCTGTTGGCCATCTGAATTTCTTCTTTGGAGAACTGTCTCTTCATATCTTCTGCCCATTTGTTAATTGGGTTATTTGCTTTTTTGGTGTTGAGGCATGTAAGTTCTTTATATATTTCGGATGTTAACCCCTTGTCAGATATGTCATTTACAAATATATTCTCCCATACTGTAGGATGCCTTTTTGTTCTGTCAATGGTGTCCTTTGCTGTACAGAAACTTTTTAGTTTGATGTAGTCCCATGAGTGCATTTTTGCTTTTGTTTCCATTGCTCGAGGAGATGTGTTCAGGAAGAAGTTGCTCATGCTTATATTCAGGAGATTTTTGCCTATGTTGTCTTCTAAGAGTTTTATGGTTTCATGACTTACATTCAGGTCTTTGATCCATTTTGAGTTTACTTTTGTGTATGGGGTTAAACAATAATCCAGTTTCATTCTCTTGCATGTAGCTGTCCAGTTTTGTCAACACCAGTTGTTGAAGAGGCTGTCATTTCCCCATTGTATGTCCATGACTCCTTTATCATATATTAATTGACCATATATGGTTGGGTTTATATCAGGGCTCTGTAGACTGCTCCATTGTTCTATGGGTCTGTTCTTGTGCCAGTACCAAATTGTCTTGATTACTGTGGCTTTGTAGTAGAGCTTGAAGTTGGGGAGCATAATCTCCCCAGCTTTATTCTTCTTTCTCAGGATTGCTTTGGCTATTCGGGGTCTTTTGTGGTTCCATATGAATTTTAGAATGATTTTCTCTAGTTCGTTAAAGAATGCTGTTGGTATTTTGATAGGAACTGCATTGAATTCTGTGGCATCTTACTATGCTGATGGACAGTGACTACAGTGGGGTGTGGGAGGGATTTGATAATATGGGTGAATGTTGAAACCACAATGTTGCTCATGTGAAACCTTCACAAGATTGTTTATCAATGATACCTTAATTAAGAAAAAAAAAGCATGTATATTTGCTAACTACTTTTTCTGTGCCCAGCATTCTTTGATACGCTGTGTAGTATAAAGAAGGGCATAAGAAAAATAATTGCCTTCTAAAAGTTAACAATATTATAGTAAGTTAAAGTCAACATAATTAGAGTACATAATTACAGCATGGTAACTGCTATAAGAAAGGTGTGAAGTGCTGTGAGAATTCAGAGGAGGGAGAGATGACATCTCTTTAGGGGTGTTTGGGAGAGTGAGCTATAGAAAGGCTTCTTGGGAGAGATGACCTTTGAGACTGGCTGTGAAGAATGGATAAGATTTTAATGGGCAAAAATGGGGGTGAATTCCAGATTTAAGGGACAGGATTAGTGAAGAGATCAATATAGACTATGTCAATGAATGCTAAGACTCAGAAACTGGACTGGGGCTCATAGAAGAGACCAGAAATTTGTTTCTGCCTCAGGGACACTGAAGCATACCCTGGTTTTAAGTTTCAGGGCCAGTGCAAGGGGTGGTACACAAGTGTTGAAACTTTAACACTTATCTATGTTCCCCAGATGTACCTTCTTTGGAGGTTAAGAATTATTTGCAACTGTTCTTTTTCCTCTAATAATGAGGATTCACCTGCAGTCTGATGTGATAGTGCATGTAAAGCAAAAGTCCCCTTTCCTCCTCTTGAGGACAGAAGATTGGATTATGGCCAGCCTCTCTTTTGTTTTAAACCAAAAATCAAATTAAGGTGTTTCTCGTGATTTCTTAACCTTGCCTTAGATCAGTAGTTCTTCTTTTGTTAAATAATAGGTTGCCTTAGGTTCATTTCTTGGAAAAGTTGGAATGGTTTTTGTGGAATTATTTCAGCAATCATTCTTAGCTCAATTCTGGGCTCTTGGGTGTCAGGGAGATGACCCAGGGAGAAGACCTAAGTCTGTGGAGGGGACTGGACCCTTGCCTGCCTGCTTCTCAGTGCTTTCTTCTGGCCTCTAGCTCAGGGACTAACAAGTAATTTTACAAGGCCCTCTCCCCTCATCCTCAGTTACTTCCTTCTGCAATCCCAAGGGACGTTCCCCCAGAGTTAAAAGAATCAGCACCCAAGGAGTAAAATCAAAATAGACAAAACGGACACTTTCTCAGTTTTCAAGAGTCAGGTGCAAACCGCAAATAGAAGCACGAGATTTTCGATTTCTAGCAAGCGGTTGGAAGCACCTTCAAACCCAGAGGCCCCTGAAGGGAGGGAGGCGGTTTCCACGGCAACCGGGCTCGGAGCGGTCGGCTCCCCTGGCTCCCTCCGCCTCCTAGTAGTCTAGGGTACCGCCGGCCGGCGTCCTCGGTGCTCAGCGTCCTGATTGGCCGCACAGGCCGCGTGCTGATTGGCTGCGGCGAGGCCTCGCGGGCCTCGTGGCTATGGAGGCGGCGGCGGTTGATGGTTGACCGTTGGCTCCAGGGTAGGGGTCGCGGCTCGGACGATCGGCTCAGACCCGACCGGCGTGCGCGGGCTGCCGACGCTCGGCCTCGAGCCGGCGGGCGAGACCTAGTTGGGCTCCGCCATGCCGGCTGGGAGTAACGAGCCGGACGGCGTCCTCAGCTATCAGGTAGGGCCCCGCCTTCCGCCCCTCCCCGGGGCTCAGCCTCCTCATCCTCTGCCCACCCTCCTTCCTGTGCCCCCGGGTCGGGCTCCGCGGGCCACTCCCTGAGGGCGAGGGGAGGCCAGCCCGGGACACCAGGGGGCGCTTCGGACGGTTGGGATCCGGCCGGGGCGGCGGGAGGGTGACCTTGGGCCGAACCGGGAGCCGGCTTATCACTGCCGCATCCCTTGTTCGGCGGGTGGTGGAGCCTTGCCGGCAGGCGGGCGGTGCCCCCTCTTCTCCTCGGGTACCCCCTGTTGGGAGAAAGGCTGGCTTCTGGCCTCGCCGTGGCCTGCTGGAAGGTGGGAGGAACGGTCGCCAGGGACCTTGAACTGATGGGGCAGGTCTCCTCTTTGTGTTTTTATTTCTTGGGGCTTCTGGTTCCTCAGTGACTCAGAGAGAGAGCTGGAAAGACTGGAGGCTGGGACCAAACCCCGTTAGTGTGGCCAGCTTTATGACTCCCTACACCCCACTGCGCAGACAAGTTCTGGGTAGCGCAGGGGTAACGGGCTGAGGAAGTGTTGAGGGGTCAGGAATAGGTGTTTATTTAAGGGAATGAGCAAACCAGGTTTAAATAACTGATAACCCAACTGTTGAGGTGATTAATGTAAGAAGCATTGGAGGAGGTGTCAGTAGGTTCGAATCCTACATCTGCCTCGCACAGGCTTTGTGACCTTGAGTAAGTCACTTGCCTCTTTAAACTTCAGTTTCCCCAGTTAGTGAAACAGAAATGATAATATCGGCTTTACTTATCTCACAGGGTTGTTTTGAGGACTAAATGAGGTGCTAGTTGTGAAAGGCTTTGGGAAGTAATGTTTATCGAGTGACAACCTGTAAATGAGTGACAGCTCACTGAATTTTCACTCTGCCTTTCCTGTGCAATCAAGTAGTATAGTTGCTGCTCAGGAAAGGATGGAAGGGGGGCCAAATCTGGAGAGACGGCTGTGCAGGGGGTGATGGATCTTCTCAGAAAGGATGATAGGTCTTCGAAATGAGTGCCACCTTGACATCAGAGATGGTTTCTATAAAAGGAGGCAGGAAAAACACTCCAAGTTTGTAGCAAAATGATCTTAGATACTGACTCCTCTTCTTCCTGGTAATAGTTTGCTACTAGAAAATTCACAATTCCTTCTTTACTTGCTCCATCAAAAAAGGAAGCATATCTAAGATTTTGGAAAATCTTTCCATTTCTATTCATCCTAAGATCTATAAAGTGTATTCATCTATGTTTGGGATGCAGTGATGAACAAAGGCAATGTTCTTGGCCTCCTAGAGATTCCCATAGGGGGTGGGAGAGGAAATAGCCATTTTTAATCAAATAGTCATACAAGTAAATGTATTATTATTAACTGTGTTAAGTCCTTCAAAAGATAGGCAGTGCTATAAGTGGTTCCAGTCCTGGTCTCAGATCAGAGAAGACTTTGCTAAGGAAGAAAATTTGGGTAAAGAGCTAAAGAATAAATGTCAGTTGAGGGGAGAGGGAGATCAAAAGGCCTTGGAGACAAAGGGAACAGCAGAAAGGGGGCACATATAGATAGAGGACCTGAAAGAAGCCAGTGTAGTTGGAGCCTTTGGGAGCAATGAGGGGAAAGGTTAAAATTGAGATGTACTCTGGGGTCATAACACCCAGGACCATCGTAGCCCATATTGAGAAAGTATTTATTTGAGGAACAAGTGGAAATTATTGAAGGGGTAAAGCAAGGAGGGAAAGGAGCGTGAATGAGAGAGAAAGGAAGAAAGCAGGAGCCAGAGAGAGGGAGTCAGTGAGATCATAATCAGATTTTCCTATTAAAAGATTTCTCTGGCTGCAGTGGGGAGAACAGCCTGGAACGAATATGAAGAGACAGTGTTCTTAACATGCAGAATGTGTACTGGTTATATTGTTAAAATCAAAATAATCCCTAGGCTTCTATTAGTGCTCTATGAGATTGAGAATTCCTGAGTGCTTCTGGGTAGGAAAGAAAATAACTTCTTTACCTCTGATACATGAAACTTTCATGAGTGGTGGGATAAGGAGAGGAAAAGGAATAGAGTGGGAACAGTAAGACCTCATGAAGGCTGAGTCAGGTGATGGGCAAATAGGTACTTGAGATACAGGGAGGAAGAGAAATAAGGGTAGAGGAGGAAAGGAAATAGGGATGGCTTGTGGGAGACAAGAGTCAACTGATTGGAATTGGCCATTTAAGCTTCCTATGTGTCAACGAGGCTGTGTGGAGGGGAGACGCCCTTGCAAAGTGAGGCCATGGTGTAAACAGAAATTCCAGGGATCACATGTAAGTATCATAAGTGTGGGTTGTTTTCTGTGGTTTGGACCACTGCACTAGCCACCTGCAAGTTCCCTCTGCTTTCTCTCTTGCTCTTCCGTAGTCCCCTTCCCACATGACAACCAGAGAGAGCTTTTAAAAACACAGATCATGTCATATCCTATCTTGAAACCCTTCAGTGGCTTCCCAGTGCATTTTAGAATAAAATGCAAACTTCTTATATTGGCCACCCAATCTTTTAATGTGATCAGGCCCTGCCCAGACTGTCCCTCCTCCACTTGCTTACCATACACCCTTGCACAGGCTTTCCTGATCTTTCTTCAGTATGGCAAGCTCCTTCATGTTTCAACACCTTTGTTCTTGTTATTTCTTCTGCCTAGGACATTCTTCTACCCAGGCCTTCTCATGACTCACTGAAATGTCACCTCCTCAGAGTGGCTTTCCCTGACTTCCATCCACAGTCACTCTCTTTCATATGCTCCTATTTTGTTTTCTTTAGTAATGCTTGTAACTTACCCGAAGTGTTCTTTTCTGATTTCTTGTTTATCTTTTCGAATAGAAGCTTCATGGAACAAGGCAGAAAATCTTGCCATGCGGCACAGTGCCTGGTATAAAATAGGTACGCAGTTCCATGAGTGAATAATGACTCTTCATGTATCCAGAGCCAATGTGCCTCTCTTTAAGGAGCTCATGGTCTTGTCAAGATTAGTATAGAGCATCAGACAGCCATTGCTTGATTACACAAAAGCTCTCCCTTCTGTGCTGCTGTGCCTTTGCTCCCCTCCTCTCCTCCTAGAATATTCCATCTTAACCTTCAAGATCTGGCTGCACATGACTATCAGAGTTCATCACTCAGTCTTCTCTGCTCACAACCCCACCAAGTGCTATTACCCTCCCACCCCTTACTTGTGGAATACACACGTTCATCTCTGCAGCTAACCTGACAGCTCCCTTTGATGTTATTTATGTAAGTTAACTTTTACCGAGGGCTTGTCATGTGCCAGGCACTGTGCTAACTGCTTTCCATGCATTATCTCACTTAATTCTCTCAATAACCGTGAGAGTTACATGCCTTTATTATCCCCATTTTCCAAATGAAGAAACCCAAACAGAGAGAGGTTAAGTACTTTTAGTAAGTGGCAGAGCTGCTTCTCTCCAAAGGATGGCCTTTAATCTGTCTGCATTACTGTAGCTTGTCTTTGACAACTAGACTACTGCCTGGCTCAGGGCGAGCACTTACAAAGTGTTGGGGGAGATACCTTGGCAAGGTATACAAGGGATGCACAAGATGGGAAGAGACTGGATGAGGGAGGCCAGCTAGGAGGCTGTAATTTTGGATGAGTTCATGAAGGCCTGCTTTATTGAATTTTGATGAGATCTCTGGAGGTGGTTATTGAAATTTTAGAAGTCAAGGAACTCTCAAAGGGGGTGGTAATGGAGGAAGATAATCAGAAAGCTTTAGGGAGAGCCCCCTACTTTGGACTGGACTTGGGGACATCTTGTAGCTTCAAAGTTCTCCTGAGCAGCACTTTCAGAAAAATTGAAAGAGAAGATTGAAGAGGTTGGAATCGTAAGCACTTGAGCCAAATGGTACTGGGACCTGCAGGGAGAGGTTGAGGAAGAGTGGAAGTGGCGGAGGGGGGAGTAAGTGAATTTGGGCAATTACCAAAGCTTTTGTGTGAATTAGACCTGCTCAGAATGGAAACTTTTGCAGGTATCTTAAAATAACAAGCCCTGGTAAATAGGTGATAATAGGGAAGCATGGCCAATGGGAAAAGAGTCACACTCCATGTCTTACGGTGGACCTGAAAAAATTCTAGTGTCAGAGTTCCTGAAGGAGCCCTGAATGTCACTGCCTAATGACTCTGGCAAATGGTGGAGCTCAGCGCCAGCTGATCAAATGAATGAATAGCTCTGTAGAGAGGGTCACCACTCCTGAGGGTTATGGTCAGTCCATGGTAAGCAGTCAATAAAAATTTTCTCAATGTTATTGACCAAAGATATCACCCATAGCAGTTTCTTCTCTCACTACATTGAGTGTACAACCCACACTCCTCCGCCCTCTCCCAACACATACTGGGTGTTCTTTTCCTGTGTGGGAATTGGGGAACCTGCGAGCATTCTCTTTCCCTGGCTTTCCCAGATGTACTGGGGAGCTTCAGGAGGAGAGGTGTGAACTGTCCTGCCAAGCAGATAATCGAGGTAGTCTGGGACTAATTCAGGCTGCAAATTTACTTCCTTCAAAATTTGCAGGTACTTTTTCCCTGTTTGCCTTGGCAGGGTAGACAGGGTTCAGTTGAGACAGCCTTGGTGGTAATCAAGGCACAAAAGCAATGTTGTTTATTCTAAATCTGCTACCAGCAACAAATCTTAAATTACGGAGAGGTTGGTCGTTTCCTGTAATGCCGTAGCAAGTTGACTCTGGTCTTGGGAGTTAGGAAGCCGTAATGTACGTATTAGTTTCTATTGTGGCCATGACAAGTTACCACAAATGTAGTGGCTTAAAACAACACAAAATGATTATCTTACAGCTCTGTAGTTCAGAAGTTCGATACAGGTCTCACTGGGCTAAAATCAGTGTTGACAGGGCTGCTTCTTGCTGGAGCCTCTAGGAGAGAATCCGTTTCCTTGACTTCTTTAGCTTCTAAAGACTGCCCACATTCCTTGGCTCACAGTTCTCTTCCTCCATCTTCAAAGCCAGCA